TTTAGAGCGAAGTAAAGTGTATTTACCCTATTGAGCCTGCATAAGCACTTTGTGGGAATTATTCTGGATCCCAAATGAAGAGTCCATTTTTGGATAATGTCCAGAAACTTGCATTCTAGTATTCCATGTTAACATGATGCAGGCATTCCCTGAATTACACTTGAAGAAGCACATGGGTAGATGCTAGAGTCTGCTTTGCCATCAATTAGTAATTGTCCTGAATAGAGTACAGGCCTGCTGCAAACTGATTGATCTGGGCCTGGGCTAGAGGATGATTTAGATCAGGAAGAGGCTGTAGGTGATGAGTGCTTTCTGGGAAATAAAATAATGCCATCAACTGGTAATGTAATGAGAAAAGGTGGGGCATTTGGAATGAAAAAGATGAATATGAGAGATAGGTGAATACACTGGCAAGTCTTGTAATTTATATTTCATGGAGGCATTAAAAGAGAAAGAGGATATACTCTGAGGAGCAAGATGATTTTTATTAATAAAAAGAATGGGCTTTAGGGGCTAGTGTTTGTTAATTTAGTAGGGAAAAAAAAAACCAATGGATGAAGAGTGTGAACTGGGGAGAAGCCAATAAAGTTCTTTTAGTAAAACTAGAACTCAGATAATTGTAGGGTATCCAGAAGAAAAAACAGAGGAGGGGGCAGACGAGAGAAGACGGCCTATGGGCACTTAGCACATGTGCCCGAATCACTTCCCATTGGCGTGAGAACCACCAGATCCTCAGGATTCATTTTCAAGCACCGCTTTCACTAATCACCACAACAGCTCCAAGCTCTGGCTTAACACAGCAGGTTTCTTTTCTTTTTCTTTTTCTCTCACAGTACATGAGGCCAGAAGTCTGAAATCCTGATGTCAGCAAGCTTGGTTTCTTCTGGAGGCTCTGAGGGAGAAACAATGCCATGCCTCTCTCCTAGGTTGTAACCGGGTCACTCTAGTCTCTGCCCCCATGTTCACGCTGCCCGTTTCTCTCTGTGTCCTTGCCTCTTCTTATAAGGATGGCACTCATTCACTGGATATAGGGCTCACCCTAACTCCAAGAGAAGTTCATCTCAAGAGCCTTCATTAGGCTCTTTACATCTGCAAAGACCCTGTTCTCAAATAAAGTCACATTTGGAGGTTCTACATAGACGTTTAGAGGACACTGCTCAACCGAGCACGCCCTCCTCGGAATATGTAGGGAATAAAGAGGAAGTGTAAAGGTGGAAGCTTTGGGGGAAACTAAGCCTTAGGAGGTAGGAGAAAGGGGAGAAACAGGCAAAGGTAGAGAGAAACAGGTACTGGAGAGCCAGGAGGAGGAGGACAGCACACTGTCAGGAAAGCTGAAGAGGTTCGAGTCTTCAGAGAGACTGTGTCTGGCAACGTCTGGTTCAGCTGACAGACACATGAAGCTGGCCGCTAGGTGTTGGATGAGGGTGATTTATGAACATCAGGAGAGCAGTTACAAGATGATTTGAGAATATGGGCAGAAAAAGGAGAGTGAGGGAAAACTAGGGTGGTATATAGGAAACAGATCAGATGGAGTAGTTTTTTGTTCCCCCAAGACAGAGAGGATCAGAACACAATTTCTCCTCCGGGAGAAGCCTGGCAATTATGTAAAGTGTCCCCAGACACATTCAGAGAGAGAATTGTTCTCTCTTCTCACAAAATCTGGATCAAGCGAATTCAACAGTGGTCAGAGCAAGGGATTTCTCCTCTCTGCCTGAGAGCATGAACTGCCTGTACCTTTTCATATGCAAATATAAAGAATTAGGCTGAATGCTAATTAAATTGCAAAGACATTTGTAAAGTAATATCACTTCTAGGGATGGTTAATAAGGCCTATGCATGGACCTTATTTATAAATAGCAAAGATCAAACATATGATAAGAGGAACCTGTAGATGGAAGAATTAAAGATCAATTATGACAATGGTACACAGCACTGAAAGCCTCTGGAAGAACTTCCTACTCGTTAATCAAAAATAATTATCAATTATGAGGCTTTATCATTAGTAGAGTGTCTACACTTTGCATCTTAAACAGCTGATGATAATTAGTCTCTAGCTCTTGCTCTAAGTGCTCATTATGTTCAGAGAGGAGTGACACTTTCCTTTAAAAATGACTTGTAGCTCATGACCTTGGGCAACTTAGATTCCTCTGTCCCTATGCTGAGTTGAGGTAATGCTCATTTTCTCCATTACTAAAAAAATTTTTTTGATAATTGCATAAATGCTAAATAATACGAAGAAACCATACTATAATACAGAGAGGGCAAAAGATTTTAGCTTTGAATCATTGTTTAATTCAAAGGAGCAGATTTATTGTGCTAATTACATCTAAGACATAACTACTGGATCAGGAATTAATGATGAGTATTTTTCCAATGGAGAAGAATAATAATGTCTATTTATTGAGTGATGATATGAACTAAGAATTATACATAACACTTCGCATGTGTTATCTCAGTTAACCCTCTCAATAACATCAGAACATAGTTATTACACTTTCCCCTCATTTTACATAATAAGGAAAAAACGTGTCAGAATGATTTAACAACTTGTCGGAGATGATACACATGATGAATAATCATTCTGGAGAGTATCTGATAAGTAGTATTAAAATTCATCTGATCTGGGAGCACCTGGGTGGCTTAATCGGTTGAGCATCTGACCTCAGTCAGGTCATAGTCTCCTGGTTCATGAGTTTGAGTCCCACATCAGGTTCTGGGCTCCTGTTGCAGAGCCTGCTTGGGATTCTCTCTCTCAATCTCTCTCTCTCTCTCTCTCTCTGCCCCCTTCCCACTTGCACTCTCTTGCTCTCTCAAAATAAATAAACTTAAAAAATTAAAAAAGAATTCTAAAAATTCACCTAGTCTGAAGATATTAATATTTAAGATATTGTAATGTCAAAAGTTGTAGGAAAACAATTAAGAAAATAATTCTTTAACTCTTGATTAAATAATTAATTTGGTGGTAACATTAAAATTTAAAGCTATCCACCTTATATTTTTGTCACAGAAAAGTAAATGATAAGAAGTGAAACAGACGTCGGAGAGTTATTAAAAGTCAAATGCTAGATGATACAATGATCTATACATAATTTTAGTTGGGAAGTTATAACCTGGTTTTAAAGGTGTTTGTTGATGCTATTCCATTACATAGTGATATTTTCCACCTTGAACATAATATAAAAATCTAGCAATTAAGATGAAGCTAAAAGGTTGCTGCTTAAAAAATAATCAAAGAATTCAGATCTAATTAGTGCAGGGCACATGAGAATGTCACACTTATGGAGGGCAGGTTCATTCAGTCAGTAAAAGTGTAGGAAAGCAGAACGTGTACTCATTTGGTGCTTAGTGGGTGGAGCCGGGTGGCAGGCTCCTTTGACCTCACAAGGCTCATAACTGGGTAGATAAACAGTTGTGGCCAGTTAATGTTCTCACATTAAACAACCAGAAATAAACGGATATAAAGTTGGTGTTTTGGTTTTTGTTTTTTTGCAAAATAATGAAAACATTATTTAATCAGGAATGTTGTGTATTCCATACAGGTAACAACTGAATTTATTTGTTCATGCAACTGTCTTTTCTTAAGTGTTGGCTTAACGAATGGTGGAATTGAGTTTTGAATGTGAGTTTTGCTCTCTTCGGAAACCACAAATAGTTGGGGTTGTAATAAATGGTACAAAATACAAATCTGAAGATGAGAGAAATGTATAATGTACTTATTTTCATTATAATATCCTATAATTCACACATGTACTATATTTCACAACTTTGAAGGACACGGTTTTCATATTTTCAGATATGGACTAGAAGACAGTTATTTAAAAGAATTTAGTTTAATAAACTCGAGAGTTCCTGGTTTCTTAGTGTCTTGGTTAATACTTTCATTCTTGTTTAGAAAGCAACCAATATTTTTATTTCTCACTAAATTCTCTAAAATAAAGAAATAAAAATGCCACTCATCAGAAATTGAGACAAAACCTATAAAATTAAATACAGTTTAAAATACTTTATAAATTTCCATACAGGAACAATTTATTTATATAATGCTTTTTGTGAAAGAGGTGTGCTGTTTTTGCCTTAAAGCATAATTACTGTGAAATAATGACATAAATGCACCTAGTGTATTTCAGAATCATAAGCAAATGTGTGCTGGTGATTAGAGGATGCGAGTTTTCAAATTGGAAATATACATTAGCGGTTAAATACATATATTTAGAAAGACTTTGCTGGAAAATGTGTTTCTGATTTCCATGTAAATTTCAACGTGGTGTCTGGTTTTGGGTATTTTATGGAATGTTATACTTTGTTATGAATTCTCTCTTGCAGGCAGCTTTTTCTCAATCATTGCTCTGAACCTGGGGAGGCATCAGGAAAGAATCCTTCAGTTTCTTTCTGGTGGTTACTTGGCAGCAGAAATTCCTGACCCTCCTCCAATTTGGCTTCCTTGAGTGGGGCAGCTGGGGAACAGAGCCTGCGTGTGGGAGAGGTAGAAGGTAGGGCAAGGCAGAAGTCAGGATTTTTTGGCAATACCTAAGTGGAAGCACATGTATTGGGGATAATGTTGCTCTAACCACCTCCTATTTACCGGTACTTTGAGATGGTCAGGTAAGATTCACAGCAGCCGGTTAGTCCAGGGGACGAGGACACCATACACCACGCGGGGCCCTGGGGGTTGTACCTGAGAGCGGGGTGAACCCGCAGGGGCTGTGGGAGGCAGGCCTGATTGAGACAGGAGGGTGAGGTGACCTTTGGTTCCCCAGGAAGGACAAAGGGAAACCGGTTAGGTGGAAGATAAGTGGGATGGAGCTGGTGCGGCTGATAGGGGAATGAGCCAGGGTAAGGGCCTTTCCTGCTGGGTGGGTGGGTGGGTGGGGAGGAGAGATTATATCTGGCAACAGCAGAACTCATATCTAAGCCTTTGGGACCCTACAAGGCCCAAAGATGTCAAGGCAGCACATGGAATTTTGGTCCTGACAGTACCGTTCTCACAACTGAACGTTTAGTGGAGGAACAAGGGAGGAGCAAGCAGTACCTCAGGCAGCTACCGAGGAAGGCACTTTGGGGGCCAGTGTCAGAGCCACTTTTGGGGGTCTGGACCTCTTTAAAAGTGAGGTCAAACTGGCTGCACACAAGGAACAGCAGTAAGTACCAGTGCCATATATCGTAGGTTGAGTCAAGGGGCCCAAAACAGGTACCTGTTTTGTCAGAGGCAGTAGAGTGTAATGGCCAAGGAGTGCCGACCTTGGCACGCCTGCCTTACTTTTGGGCTATTATCAGATCTGTGGTTTCTGGAAGGCTATTGAATCTCCTTGTACTTCTGTTTCCCTATTAGTAACATAATGTAACCATCTCATGGGGTGGTTGAAATGTTAAATGAAACAATAACTATAAGTGTTTACTAAACATTAGCTATTATTACTGATGGGGCACATAAATTACCCCAACCAGCTTCTGTGGGTGAGCTAACCAGTGGCCAGTCTTAGCCTAAATCAGTAGTCAGGGTGGAGGGCAATGTGATACCATTATCACCTAAATCACATGGGGGTTCTTCATTTCTCTTTACGAGGTCTTGACTTGACACATTATAAATGGTTACTTAGAAGCTTTGCATTTAGTAGCTACAAAGGTGTGTTTCCAATAATTTAGATCATTTATTTTTTTATATAAATTTTTAAAATTTATTTCTGAGAGAGAGAGAGACAGTGCAAACAGGGGAGGGTCAGAAACAGACAGAGACACAGAATTGGAAGACAGGCTCCAGGCTCTGAGCGAGTCGTCATCACAGAGCCTGACTTGGGGTTCGAACCCACAAACCGTGAGATCATGACCTGAGCCGAAGTCAGATGCTTAAAACTGACTGAGCCACCCAGGCGCCCCTCACTAATGATCATTTAAAGATTCTTCTATCTGACGGTATTTATTGGTCTTTCAAAAGCAAAACACATGCCTATTTGATTAAGTGCATTTTGACTAACCTTTGAAAACCGAGACATCTTCACTATCAAAATATGGCAATTCTTCCCTAGCCTCATCCATAATATTTAGAGGTAAACTGAACAAAAGATTAGTTTTAGTACGGTCTATAGAGGTTGTTCTAGAATGTTCATACAAAAGGCACTTTGGCATTGCTCTCGTTGGAAGGAGGACACTTGTCTTGAAAGCTTCCCAGCAGAGCCAGCACGTCCTGTTTGGGCGCCTGGCATGAGGGTCCTTCTAGGAAAACCCTTCGAAGCCACTTGGCTTATGCACTGTGGTAGCAATAGGGAAATAAGAAGTGGAAAAAAATTATTTTTTTGTAATCAGGGGCATTTAATATGGACTAAGTATATTTATTTGCTATTAGCCCCTACTCCAGTTCTCTCTATCACTTCCCATGTCCTTGTTTTGTTGAAATAAATGGCAAAAACACAGAAAAGAGAAGCTGTTTCCACGTCTCTATAATCCCTATTATGGCTAGCACAGTGGTTTGTTTTCTTACATTTAATATGTGTTCAATCAATATTTGTTTGTTGATTAGTTTTCACTGAACCATCAATAATTCTTTTGATTGAATTCTTTTGATTGATTTTACCCTTGCAAGACAAATTGTTTCAGAAATTCCAAGTGAGTGAATCGGACCAGGTAATCTCTAAGAATTCTTTTAATGCTAATGTTCTATGATGATCAAATCTATCAAAGAGGGACCTTGGTAAGGAAAAAAGAAGCTTTGGAAAAACTTGGGGATTTATTACCCTTATACTGACACAGAAGGAATTCTAGTAGAATACAATTCCATAAATGAAAATTATATATAATTATTACTACAAAATCTGATAAACTAATAAACTGCCTTTGGTGTTACTGAATGTAACCCAACAGCATTGAGTAGGGGAGGGTCTGAGGTTAATAGCACATGGGTTTGATTCCTGGATCAAACTCCTTAACAGCCATAGTGGCCTAGGACAAGCCACTTCACTTGTGTGTCTGTAAAGCAATAATAATAGTAACTCTTTTATAGGATTGTCCTAAAGAGTAAGCGAATGAACTAGTATCCATAAAAAGCACTTAGAATGTTGTATGCCACCTACTATACACATCCTCATGGTCATTCTTCTTGTTTTTCTCATAGATATATATAGTTGACTTCCAAGCAGTCTTTCCGTATACTTGGTGTCTAGAGAAGAAGGAATTCATGGGGAAGTTTCCCGCCACCCCAGCCGCACTCATGATACATATATAAAGCTTTGCTTGAAGTCCTTGAATTTAAAAGCAGCTAATTTTTTTCAATTCTCATTTATTAAGAGAGCTTCTCAAAAAAAAAAAAACCCTCGAAAAACTAGTATTCATGGAATTGATGTCAAAAGCTAAGTGAGCACTATTTTACTGAAGAAGTATTTCAGCCATTTCCCTGGAATGGTTTTAAGGCTAGCAATCTACTGCTTGAAAGTGCTGCCTTTGATATCAAATGATCATTAAAAGTCCCATGACACTTACCTATGACTTAAAATTATTCATCTCTATCTCTTGGCAAGGGTTCAAATTTGAGATTAAATTCTCTTTAAGTGGTGGAGGCAGTCACAGTTTCCCCTGCCTGATGCTTTTAAGTAGTTTTGTTTTACTGGAGGAATACCACCTTCAGGTGCTCGTAGATGAAGACACTTGTCTCTCAGAGGCTTAGCGTTGAGTGAGTCACATTCAGAAAATGGAAAAAAAAAAAAAAAAGAATGCAATTATGGAAAAAGGCAGAAAGGTCCAAGGGCTAAAAACTAATGGAACAAGGTTTGGTCTAAGGGAAAATAAAGTCTGTGTACTGCAAAAAAAAAAAAAAAAAAAAAAAGAAAAAAAGAAAAAAAATTGAGAAAATTCCTTTGTCCTTTTTTAATCGCTTAAAGTCTTCACTTTCTATCTTTCTTTTTAGAAACTCCCCTGAGCACTCTTATCTTAGAAGTTCTTTGAAAAATGTTTTAAAAACAATTCCAGAAGTGACAAAATGCAGAAGGGCCCATGTAGATAAAATGATGCTGAAAGTTGATGACAGAATAAACTGGACTTTACTGTAATAAGGACCTGATAAGGTCTGAATGTATTTCTTACGATTTCTACAATCTTTCACAGAATCATAGCTAATGTTACAGAAAAATGTTTCAAAGTAGTAACATAAACCAATTTTTAAAAAGCTAACGTCTCATGTATACTCTTAAAACCCTGTAAGTGCTATCAAGTCTTCAAATGGGATCTCAACTGTAAAGTTTCTGCCTGCTGTATTGCCCCAGATCCCTTTTCATGCAATTTTCATGCAATTTCCATACAAATTCCCATGTACTGAAGACCTTGCCTTACAGTCAAATATTTCATCGTACTTGCAACTGGTGCTCCTCATTGCTTATCTTCTCCGAGCCTCTTCCTACATTCGCTCTCTTCTTCGTCCGACCGAGTTCCACGGAAAGGGCTGGAAGAGCGCGGCCGGGGTCTCGCTCCGCTCGCCTCCCCGGGGCAGGCGGCGCCGCTCTGAGGCTGCCCCGCGCGCGCCGCCACGGACAGCGGGCCGGCGGGGGCGGGCGCGGCCGCGCGCAGGGGGCGGGGCGGGGGCGTGGCGTGGCGTGCGGGGGCGGGGCGAGTGGGCGTGGCGGGGCGTGCGGGTGGGCGGGGCGGGACGTGCGGGGGCGGGGCCTGCCTGCGGAGCGCGGCCGGCGAGCGCGTCCCAGCTCGGCGGCTGCTGGCCGAGCCCGCGGCGACCGCGGCGGTGGCCGGAGCCGGACGCTCGCGGGCTCCGTGCGGCTCCAGCCGACTTCCTCGCGGGTGCAGGGCCTGCTCTCCCCCGCAGGACGGGGACACCCGGCGGCGCTGTGCTCGAGGACTCGTGTCTCCCGCCTCGGAGCTCCTCCGGAGAGAGCCAGTGCCCCCAGGGGAGGCCGCTGTCCCAGAACGGCCCCGGAGCGTCTGCCGCCAGATTGCACCTCGTGGGCGCCGCAAACGCGGAGCGTTTTCCAACGCTTGCCACGTAGGGCGCGCGGGGACGGCGGGGCCCACTTCGTGGGAAGGGGCGACCAGGACAGGGATGATGGATGCGCAGAGCTGGCGCGCGGGCGGCTGCTGGCTGCTCCTTCTGGCCCTCGTTGGGTCTGCTCGGAGCGAGGGCGTGCGGAGCTGCGAAGAAGTTCGGAAACTTTTCCAGTGGCGCCTGGCGGGAGCTGTCAGGGGACCGCCGGAGTCGCCGCGGGCAGGTAAGGCGCGCGGGCGGCTCCCGGGGCGCCGCTCCGGCCGGGCGGGCTGCACGCGGGGGCCGCCTCGGGGAAGCGCGGCTGCGGGGGCTGAGCACTTGCGGCCCGCGCCGGGTCTCCTAGCCTCTGCCGCTGCGTGGCCGGCGGTGGGCGACGCGGACCGCGTTTCCGTTCCGGGTGCGAATTTCACCACGGCCCCGCCGGGGGGCTCGGTTTGCTCTTTCTCGGGTGGACCAAGTTGGCTCGGTCGCTCCAAGTTTGGAACTGAAGATCCAAACCCGTGTTCTTCTCCTTTGCTGGAGAATGGGGCATTGAAAGGGCAGCCCGTCTCCTCTGGGATTAGGACTCGGACCCCGCTCACTCACACCCGCGTGACCCGCAGCTGGCTGTGTGCCCCGGCACCGAGCCCTCCTTGCGGGGGACACACTGTCCCCAGCGTGCCTCCCAGACGACTGGGTAGTTTCGACGCCTGGAAGATAGGACGGCAACAGGCGATCAAAACGGAATGTGTCGGGAAGCCACTAAACATGGATGAAACAAACACCAGAGACTGAAGGGGAGGCAGCACCTTGAGCGTAGCCAGTGTAGATTCTGCTGCTCGTGAGGCCGTTTGCCTGCATCTTTACCCCCTGCTCCCCACCCCTCCGCGCACATTTCCTTCTGCTGGTGCGATTTCCAGTTTACCTTTGGTCTGGAAGATTAGGTCTTAGCTGTCAAATGCAATAGCAGGTGTCTGAAGCGCACATCTTACTGGAGCAATGCACCCTGACTCTGAAGGCAAGACAGACGAGTGCCGTGAGTTTCCTGGTTGAGTAAAGAATTTATAGAGGATGCTTGGTTCTAAAACACGTCCTGTGGCTGAGTTTTCAGGGTGAAGCGGCTTGCTCTTAGCTCTATGGAACGGTAGCTATTTTGCTTGATTGCTGTTGCTGGTTGAGAACTCAGTTCTCCCCTCATCCTGTAAGGAAAATCTGGGAACCCTACATCCATATTAGTTTACATGACCAGTCTTTTATATTTGAAATATTTCAAGTCTTTATTTGAATGTTCAGTACAAGGTGCTTTTTACATACTGCTTGAAACAACATAGTTGAGATTCTAAGCTTAGGGCAGTTCTTTCCTCAGACAGTAATAGCCCTTTATAAACTTATTCTCCTATTTCAGTGCATTCTTTTTATTAAAAAAAAAAATCAAAACCCTAAACCTCACGTATCCGTAGCTAACACTGCTGAAGTGGGTCTTTGTGCAGAGGGGGACAGGGTGAAGGCATTGAGCTTATGAAATCCTCACCTGCATTATTAGATTTTGTTCCCCAAATGCCATGATTTTGGCTGATACATTCAGGAAGCGTTGACAGCTCTCCAGTAAAGGGCTCAACTTCACTGCGCTTCTCATATCTCAGTATCCCTGATACCTGCTGCGTGCAACACGTTGATTAAGTGTTACATTCCTAGAACCTTGTGTGCATTTCATCTCCTTTGAAGAGGAACTTCCCAGAGTATCAATCACTGGCATACCTTTTTATGGGGATGTGAGGGAAAACTGAAGCTGTGCCGTATAGAGAAGGAAATGGTGTCTTTATTTGCATTTGATACATATGAACCCCCCCGCCCCCCAGCCAAAAGAGCCAGGATGGCAAGCACCTTCTTTTCTGAGCCATTCTGGATTGTTTCCCCATTGCCAGTACCTTTCTTCCTCTATGGCTTAATGTGATGGGGGGAGCCTAGCAGTACAGACAGAAGCCAGGGACTGTGCACCGTTACATGCTTGGGGACTTCAGTGCGGCTGCTGGGAAGAAGGGCCAAATGCGTTTCATATTTGCATTAAGAAAACAATGACATGAAAGTATTATTTTGAATTAGAATCATCTTGACTAAAATCATTCTTGTCCCCAAATTGTTAGTCGTTGTTTTAGTTGAATAGGTAAATGAAATATTAAACTATTTCTTTTAACATTGCTACTTCTCCACACTAAAACAAACTCATCCTCAAACCGAGTAAACCACACATACTACGTGCTTCATAACTGCTTTTCCTTATTTGTGTGTTTATGTATGATCTGTAACATTCAGCGTGATTGAGTATCCCAATTGGGTATCCGATTTTCTAACAGCATCCTCAATCTCAAGAGAGAACAATAGTGAATATAAGTAGTCATTTCCATGTAAGAATACCAATGTTAATATTCCTTGTAATGTATTTATTTGGCACATAGACTTTCACTGACCAAAGCTAATACATTTAAACTTGATACTCGTTTTTCTTGAAAGTTAATAATTTTAGTGCTTTCTTCATTCACTGTCCACAAGTGGTTAATTCCTGAGAGGCCAAAATGCCATTTTTATAATAAAAGCAGGTAGAACAACTTTTTATAGTTTCTTCCTATATTTGCAACTCTTACATCTTCTGAAAACTCTGTTATCCAATTTGAAATTATTAAAATGGTGAGAACAGCCATTCAAGTCGTTTCTCAGATTCTCCTCACCTTTGTTCTTTACTCTGCTCCAATTCTTTTAAGCCTATTGAGCTCCTGAGGATGTTGGATGAGAAATGTAAAAAAGGAGAGAAGGTGTAAATGTGATTAGAATTACAGATTTCCCTGTGTTCTGATTTTATTTCCTAAGTAGTAGTCAAGGTGCCCTTTGCCCTTGTTTATTTTATTCAGAAAAAAAAAAAAAACCTTAGTGAAAGTGTCTTTTAAAGGTCCTTTTATTTTTATTTTATTTATTGGGGAGGAGGGATAATGCTTTCCCGTTGAAATTCTCTTCACACATGGAATTGTTCACACTTGCATTATTTCCCTTTTTTAAGAAGGTAATTCAGATAGGAGAAGCTTATAAAAAAAAATCCAAGGTATTCAGGTAATTTATATCCCAACCGGTTTTTGAAAAGTGAATGTTCCTTGGTACAAGTAGTAGTTTGTGAAAGATAACATTTTTCGATAGCTTTTGGTTATAAACGGGATAATAAAAATAAACTTGATGTGGCAAAATGAAATTTTAATACTACGGGTCACTTTAGTGCTGTGTGGTTTTATTTTCTTAACTGCTTTCATTATGATCGAATCTTATTATTGTTTCAAGCACAGTGTAGATTCATTCTCACACGAAAGAGAAACAATCTACCTGGTAACCTTGGAGTTTGGAATTAGAGACCTTGGGTTTCAAAACTGGGATCTGCCATTTGTAGCGGTGGGGCCTAGGTTGACTGATTCTCCTCTTTGAACCTCTGTTTTGTCATCTATAAGATGGGAATCTTTGTTGTTGGGTTTTTTTTTTGTTTATTTATTTATTTTGAGAGAGAGAGAGAGAGAGAGAGAGAGAGAAGGTGAGCAGGGGAGGGCCAGAGGGAGAGAATCCCAAGCAAGCTGGGCACTGTCAGCACAGAGCAGGACTGGGGGCTCGATCCCGTGAACTATGAGATCGTGACCTGAGCCGAAATCACGAGTCTGACGCTTAACTGACTGAGCCACCCGCGTGCCCCGGGAGTCTTAGTTAAAGGGCTGTTGAATTTACGAAATGAAATAATCTGTGTGTGTAAAATAGCACAAATCCAGGCACATAGGAAGTGCTCACAAAATGGATTGTTGCCACTACGGTGGTTTGTTTAGTGTCTTGATTTTAACTAGTCTTGGCCTTTAGAGGTGAAAGTTTTAGATTTCTATGTATCAGAATCTGTTTTTATATTAACTATAAAAGGTTTTTTTGGTCACAAATTATTGTTTCTAAAATTGGGAAACACCTTTCTTTTTTAAATAAAATTATCCAGCTATTTTATATCTCTGCTTATTTTTTTAAAAGTTTATTTATTTTGAGAGAGAGAGAGAGAGAGAGAACACGTGTGCACATGCAGCTGGGGGAGGGACAGAGAGAGAATCCCAAGCAGTGGGCTTCCATCTGTGAGATCAGGACCTGAGCTGAAATCAGGAGTCAGACACTTAATGGACTCAACCACCCAGGCACCCCAGGAAATATATTTCTATTCAAAATGGTATTTATTAGGTTATAGTAAATCTTTTGTTTCTTCTCACGAGCTAATGGAAGGTTTTATTAGGTTATGGTAAATATATCTATATAGTATGGCGGCCTCCACTACCCCTGCCCTCCTCAACCACAGCCTCCACTACCCCTGCCTCAGCTACCCGCGTCTCCACTACCGCTGCCACAGTTCTGCAGCATGTATTCAGGGAGGTGAAGTAGTGCATAGAGCGTGGTTTAAGGATTTATATGATTAGATAGCTGGTGGCCATAGTCATTCATGGATAGTACTCTGAAATCGACACCATTGTTTCTCATGAATTTAACCCTTTTTGCTACTTGAACAACATAGTTGTGTTGATTAAATTTCCAAAGCCATAGAAGGAGCATAGGCTCTGATGTTGGGGAAGATTATTAATATCAGGATTGCCCTGTGTTGAAGCTTCTTCACCAAACCCACCGGTAACCACCCTATACTCAAACAAATCAGGCTCATTTTGCTTGCTGCAGCAAGGACAGTTGCTCACCATAGGAATTGTGGGTGTTGTGGGTAAAGGTCAGTCAGGAAGGGGCTTTTTCTAAGACTAGGGCTTGTGCTGGGTGATCTCTAGGACTGTTTCATGGAGCGGAGCGTTTCAGAAACTGGGTGTTTTGATAACTTAGGCGTTGGGAAGATTAAGGTGGCTGTAGTGATTGAAGAAGCAATAGTCAGTCTTATGGTCAAAAGAGGGGGGTGTTTAGTCATTTGTGAGGCTGCAGTATGTCTCGGTGTCTGCTGCTGCACCACAGGTCTCAAGTGGCCCTGTCCCATCGCTGCGGCCTGATTCTGTGTGTGTTGTCTGTCCTGGCTTGTAAACATGAACTTAGTTCCATTGTTAGGGCGGCTTGTCACTTTCTCCTCTGCAAAATCTGGCGTGTGGTTTGGTGGCCATGAGAATCATGTGTTTCATGTTTGCCCAGGCCTTTAGTGAAGCATGATGGTAAGACAGTGAGTATGGGTTTCTGCTCTAAGGCTACAGAGTTTGA